CCTAGCTGTCCTGTGAAGTAGATAAGGTAGTTGTGGTACTAGTATCATCCTCTTACAAATGATGCAGTAGACACGTATCCATTTATCAAAAGTCACAAAAGCAAGGAAACAATGGACATGGAGTTTTTTTAAAGTTAACATAAACAATATTGTTCCTCACTTTCTTTTTTCACTCAGTAATATGGGCAGTGTTTCCAAATGTTTTCATGGATCTACCTTAGTAGATCATCTCATTCCTGCTTGGTGGGCATATAGGTTGCCTTCAGTTTCTCAGTATTTTGGATAATATTTGGCAAACATCACTGATGATGTAGCCTTCCACATGTGTGTTCTGTGTAAGAGATCCATGTCCCAGAGTCCTCCCATTCTTCCACCTTCCTTGCCACTATTAGATATTTTCAGTTATAGAAATTTTACTAAGCTGGACACAAGTGGTGCAGACTTATAATCCCAGCACCCAGGAAACTGAGGCCAAAGGATTGTCACCAGTTTGAGGTCAGCCTAGCCTACATAATGAGTTCAAAGCCAACTTGAACTATGTAGCAAGATCACCATCTCAAAAGACAAAAAAAGTTTTACCAATCTGAAAAGTAAAAGCAATAATGTATAATTAAAATTTTTGTTTTCCTCATCACAGAGTTTGAGTGCATTTTATATATTAATTCTGATTATTCACATTTTATGTTTATATAGTATTCTGATTTTTCAGTGTAGATTAATTGCATTTTTTGCTTGTTCTCTTTTTTTCTTATTGGTTTACAAGTGTTTATGTATGGAAATTAACCTATTATCCCTCTTCCTCTTTATTTTTATTGCACAGTACTGGAGATTGAACACAGGGCTTTATTCTTGCCAGGCAAGTACTTTACCACTGAACTACGTTTCCAGCCCTGCTCCCCACTTTGAGACAGGGTCTCATTGTGTATTCCAGACTGGCTTTAAATGCACTGTGTAGCCCAGACTGGCCTTGAACTTGTGGCAATGCTGTCTCAGCCTCTTGAGTGCTAGGATCATAGGTGTGTACCACCATACCTGACCCCTAACCCTTTTTATTGTACTTTGAGACAAGGTCTCTCTAATTTGTCCCAGCTGGTCTGGAACTTTTGATCCTCCTCATTCAGCCTTCCAAGTAAATGACATTATAGATGTATTCCACCATGCCTAGCTAATCCACTACCTCTTAAATGTTGCAGTTGTTTTCACCTATCCCATCTATATTTGAATTTTATTTATGGTTATTTTTGGCCATGCATATTGTCTATGTTGTCACTCCTTTATGACTTCTATTTGGGTCCAGAGTGATCTTTCTGAAAACACAGATTTGTTCTTTTCTTTTCCTTGTTTCTAACTGAGAGGCGGGTGTAGTATTTGAAGATATGGAATATAGATATTTTGCTTGGTTCAAAACCTGGTTTTGCTGTTTACCAGTTGTGGGACCCTGGCTAGCTCAGGTAATTGTTTTATGCCTATAAGCCTCATGATCTGATGCTCACTCTGTGGAGTTGGATGGTGTTCGGTTTAGGTGCTAGATCCATGCCAATCACATAGTCAGTCCTCAGTGAATATTAGCTGCTGCCCAGTCTCGTGTGTTATTTACTCTGTTGGCTTCCATGATCTAGCCACAACAGTCTTCTCTCAGTCTTTCCCACCATTGAGTGTCTGTGTGTGCTGTATCCTCTTTTTACTCTTATTGCTTAATTGTAATTTCCATTATATACTTGCTAAAATGTCATTTTCTCAGGGATATTCAGTGAGCTCCTAGTTCAGGTTAAGCCTCACTTTATGTTCTTAGCATCCAGTATTTTTCCTCCATAGTACAGTACTTTAAATAATTGTTTTAAATTGCTGTCTTAATTTCTCTGCTCCTAGTTGAAAATACAATTTCTGAAAGCAGGAACCCCTAAGATAGTACATGGTATTGATAAATATATGGGGAGTAAAGGAGTTAGTAGGTGGAGTGGTACAGTTTAGATGTTTGGGGCTTGGGATAGAAAAGTAAACTGAGGAGAGCACATGTAGAGACTTTAAATATCACTCTCTCCATTTTTTTGTTCAGTTGTTCCTATGAGAAAGTCTGGGTTTCAGTGCTTGTATATAACTATTTGAGTAACTGGCACTTAAGTAACTAACTTTTAATCATTATTAAATCTTTTTCCATGAAATAAAAATTTTAAATCTGAAAAGTCCTTACCTCATTTTACAGATAAAAAATTGACATAGTATAATACTGTAATGATTGTGTAAGGAGTAAAACTGAAAGAAGAATCTAGGTGTCCCCGCCTTCCACCTAAAGCTGTTATAGGTAGCTGATATATTTTTAAGGGATATACAGTATTAAAAGCTAAGCTAACTCTTTTTAGTGATTAAAATTGCTTATGAGAATCAATTTCTAAGGGCTGTCATATATACTCAAAATGCTTTTCTTTTGTTCTTTTTGCGGGGGCAGGGGTTGAACTCAGTACCTTATGCTTGCAATGCAGGCACAGTGCCACTGAACTAAATCTCTGGCCCAAAAATGCTTTTGAGAGAGTTTATCTTGTAGAATATCACCCTTAAAGCAGTGTTGTTAGGTACCTATGCCACTTACAGTTTTCTGTATTGTTGCCCTTGCATTCAGTTCATGTTATGCCATCCTATAGCAACTCTTTTTTAAAATTTCTTCTTTCTAATCTGCTAGGCACATATAAAGGTAATATCTTAGATTGTTTTACATGTATATAAAGCAAGAATAAATAGATTCATCCGTTGTGCACCATGGATGAACCTCAGAAACTTGGTAAGTGTAAGAAACCAGACCCAAAAGGCCATATATTGTATGATTCCATTTATGTGAAGTGTCCAGAAAAAATGAAGTCTTCTAGAGACCAAAAGTAGATTAGTGGCTGGGGCCCAGAAGGAGGAGGAAGAGGAATCATTCATGACCATTAAGCTTCTTTTCAGAGTGACAGAAATATTCTAAAATGGATTATAATAATGGTTACACACTATAAATTTACTAAAAGTTATTAGAGTATGCACTTAAAGTGGTTTGGGGGAGTACTGGGAATTGAACCCAGGACCTTCGCACAGAGCTTTTCCATCCCTAACTTTTTTAATTTTGAGCTCATGTCTCACTGAGTTGCTAAGTTGCCCAGGCTGAGCTTGACCTTGCACTTGTCCTGCCTCAGCCTCCCAGAGTGCTGGGACTACAGGCAAGTACCACCATGCCTGGCTAAAGCAGAAAGTTTTGATATGTGAATTATACGCCAATAAAGTCATTTAAAAAAATTAGGTTCAGAGCTTATTTTGGAGGCATTCTCTTTGTAACTTTAGAATAACATAGGTGAAAATTCGGTTCTGCGTAATAGTCTAGCAAAATGAAATGGAAAACAAGATAAAGTACAAGATAAACTAGATGAAGTTCATAATATATGATATATTATTCATTAGGTAAGACAGAGCTTTGAAAGCAAGCATCATACCTCATCCTCAAAACCATAAGGAAATGTTTTTGTGAGTAGGAATCATGGTACTAAGTATGGTAATCTAAGTTTAAAGGATAGGATTCATATACATGTTAATTGATTATGATCTTTAGTTTTTTTTACCGAAATCTTGATGAGCTCTGAGCCATCTCTTGGACTTGCTCCCCCTCCCCCTCCCCCTCTCCCTCTCCCTCTCCCTCTCCCTC